TCTAATATGAGGTAGATTATTCTTATCCTTGAAATCAAATGAAGAGGAAGCTGTGATCACGCGAAAGTTCTTATTATCTTTATTGTTGCATATAAGTCTGAAGCTATATTTGTTATCTTTAAACAATCGTCTACCAATTCAACGATTGATATGAAGTAGAGCTAGGTTTCAAAGAAGCCTTCGATTATTTAATATGATTTATTCTTCATAATTGTGGAGTGCGTAAGGCTACCATTATTCCAGTACTTCTTCATTCTGTAGCAAGATCAAGAAATTGATAGTCAGGCAAGTTAATCACATTCGTTTATCAAAACTTTGTTTATGACTTATAATTATCTTTAGATTATACTTATTACTGGGCCAAATTAGTCATATAAACCTAGTACATATCTTATGATAATGTACTATGATTTGGTTGATTTTACACTAAATAAAAATGTAAAATTGGACTCAGTAATTGTAATTTAAATTAGATTCATACATCTTCTTGTCTGAAGCTCTTAATTTGTATGGTTTCATTAAACTACAAGTTATTTTTTAGCTTGTGAGAAAAAAGACATGCTTAATAAGTTTGAGAAGATATAAACATGTAACATTTAATAAGCTTTAACAACTTAGTATTAAAAAGTACATATTTTATATCCCATTTGAAATTGCATGAAAAAATACAAGATTTAACTATTGGATCATGTTTGATTCTAGTTTTTGGCAAATCGGGAGTTTATTTAATTCAAGAATCATTACTAGTTCATAATTTATTCCTTTAGTATGTGTACGATGGCCCTGCTGTCTTGGCAGCAAGTCATAGATATAAATGATGATGAATAGGTTAGGTAGTGTTACTAAATTCACTTTGGAAATATAAAAGGATTCTATTCTACCATGTATGGTTATCCTAGAGAGTTAAGAATGTAATAAGCTGGGTGGAGATAAGTTTAAGAAGCCCATACACTACGTTTTCATTCTTAACTTCATTTCTAACAATATATATTTTTATATATCGATAATAATAAAATGTCTGTGTTTTACAGACAACTTTTCATCTGTTATCTGACCGACATTGTCCTAGCAGAAAAGCAGGCTTACGATACTTCACTAAGCATGAAAACAAGAGACGTGGCATGTTTTGATCCCATCTACTTTTTATAGCTTTTATTTTCCTAACTTAATAAGATATCTTTTGACTTGGTTGGCTATTTTATGCCTTTTTAAATCCTTGCAGAAAAGTGAATTGGCTGTACCCTCACCTCATCAAGCCAAAGGATAGGTACACTAACATCAATCTATTAAGGACTTCTTCACAACTCAATTTGTCTTCATAACGGCAAAGCACAGGGACAAGAAAATTTCAAGGTTGATTAATATCTTGCCTTCCACAATCATCCATTCAGATTACTCGAAAATTAGCAAATAGAGAGCGAGATAACTATTTAGAGCCTAAAGAGGCATCATGATCATAGGACCAAACAGTGGTTTATTTATTTATGGAACCATTTGTGACTACATTCAGCTCCTTTTGATATATTAACTTCATTTATCTGCAAATGAGCCTAACTTAACCAATTAACTCATGAGAATCCTCATTATGATTGGAAAATTATGTATAAGGAATCAATATTGTTGCAGCCATGTACCTTTCTTGTATTGTGTTTATTGGTGTTTTCTTATATGATGATTTCTTGCTATTACTACATGTACCAGATTGATGATGAAAGCTCAACTGGACGCTGAGCCAATAAACTCTTCGCTCAATCAGTCATTCCCCTCTTTACTACATTTTAAATGTTCCAGTAAAACCAATCTAAAACCGGCCCTAAGCGGACTCCGCTGCCATCTTCTGTTGGAATTGACCTTCGAGTATCTGACCACACAATTTTACTCGAAATGGAAATTAGCTCAACAATAATAAGCCAAGAAATTCCTCAAAACGCAACCATTCCTATCATATTTTTGGGCTAGTGAATGCCCCAGGATAGGAGAGATACTACAACTTTTCAGCAGACATTTGGTGAAAGGATGGACTTTACTTGTTTCTGACTATTTGTAGTGTGGTCCTAAGAATGGCAAAATTCACTGACGATGCCTACTACGATGGTGGCGAAACGTCTGGGAATGTACCAAGTCCACGGTCCGACTGGAACTTATTATGCATACTATGGACTCCGGACAAGATTCGTTACTCTAGGCCCTCCTTTTAATATGACCAAGTTACGACAAAGTCAAGCAAATTCCATAAAAAAATAATTAGTTATGAAACATTTTAAAGGCTTTTAATTATTAAAAGAAGTATTTGTATGAAAGGAATGAAATCAAAAGTTAAACTTAGCTTGGATTTAAATAGTAGGAATACATAGTCATAAATACGTATGCTAGAAATAGGGAGGATATCTTCCTTCTCGTATGAAAATTAGTCGCTACGAAATGAAGTTGAAATATACATGAAATGGATCATTATTTTTCCTTGTGATTTTCTTCTTGCTAAAATACAACTTTAAATTTAAAATGTTTATTTGTGTTCATTCCCTAAACAGCCAGACGGATGCGCAAGCGAATGGAGGGCACCGGACAAATCATAATTGACCGAGAGGGTACGCCTCTTAAACTTTAAGATATCTAATTAAATTGCTTCTATTACTTCTCTTTAATTTGTCTTTATTGAAATTATTCCTCATCTTCAAAATAAGCTCTCCTCTTACTTTATTAATCAGCAACATATTGGCGGATAATGCAGTGTAATAAGTCAGTTAGAACCAATCCTGATTCGATCTCTCCTGCTTAGCCTGCGGACAGGAAACTAGGTTTAAATTTTTATTAGACCTATTTTCTTCATCTCTATCATCATGCCAATCAAATGTGTACATTGTATCAATCTTATATTTTCATTTCTTTATGATCTTAATGCCTTCAACATTTTACCTAAATAGGTTTAAAAGATAATAATAGAGACATTTTTGCCTTAAAGTGTTAACAATATTAATTATTAATCAAAGGCGTGAATACCAAGTAAGTATGGCCTTTACTCTGATCGCGATCTCCTTTCGATGCATAAAATTGTTTGGCCCCGTTTTCAAAACTTGGTCTTTTTGCCAAAGAGACCTAGATTAACGCATCTTGTCTGGAGTCCTCTGAAGTGAGCCTAGTCAAAGCTACTAAATAGTTACAAAATTTGGAACTTGCCACAAAAGTGACTAGGGAATAGGAAAGTCATAGACTTGGCACTATAAATAGAAGCACAAGGCAAATCAGACCAGAATTATATTTGAGTGATGTGGCGGAGACCAGAGGTACTTGGCCCATATTACATGTCATTTTGTGAAGTAAAGGCTTGACCACGAGATTTAACCGATGTATATGCCTAACCGTAGTAAGGGAAACTACAGCGCTGTCGCTTTTTTATCCAGCTTTAAGATTCAGACTTTAGAGTCTGCACAATGAGGCTATAATATACGTGCTATCAAATGCCTTAGGCAGAGCATGGGAAGCAACTTAGTGAGTAACACAGTAGCATATTGTGGCAGTAATCAAATGAAGTCATTAAACCAGGTTGATAAGAGACGAATCTTACGAGAAAAAAGGAGACTGATAGGACACGTATAAAATGGATTGTAGACTAAAAGGGCCAAATTGGATCAGCATTTCTAGTTCAAGAGGGATGAAGGAACTAGCGGGAAGGGTATATAGGCTTCATTAAATCTACTCAAAATAGCTCATCTGGACTGGGTTAAAATAAATAAGTTAGAAACTGTGATAGTGACGACTTTGATACGAGGATATAAGCTAGTGAATGTCCCAGGATAGGAGAGATACTACAACTTTTCAGCAGACATTTGGTGAAAGGATGGACTTCACTTTTTCAGACTTTGTAGTCTGTTCCTAAGAATGGCAAGATTCACTGACGATGCCTACTACAATGGTGGCGAAACGTCTGGGAATTTACGAAGTCCATGGTCTTACATAGGAAATTATCATGATAGAGAACTCCGGACAAGGTACGTTCCTCTAAGTCTCTCTGACAAACGAGATCAAACTACTTCAATATTACACATTTTTACTACAATTTTGTTTTCGTCAAAATCCATGGAAATTAGATCTAACAAAAAGTATATGTTCATATATTTTAATTAAAATAGACTTAATTTTAAAGCTACCATGTCGGTTACTATCTAATAAATCGATGTGTTCTTAATTGCTCATTAAGCCCTATATCGTATTAGTTAATCCAATCAGATATGCTTGGCTCTGCACTGTTAACTTATCAATGCTTTTTAATTTTACCTCCTTCATAGGCCTCCAAGGATACATTTTCTCTGCAAAACCTCCGAATTCTTGCAATTATGATTGTGAAAGTATGTTACTCGTATAGTATTTTATACATTTACTTAATGAATTACGTTTTAGGTTAATTCAGAATCAGGTTTGCATTATTTTCCTGTTTACATTAAGTGAACATGAATTTAACGTTATTTAATACTTTACGTATCTATTTTTCTATTTCTTTATCGACTACCACTCTAAGTTAAATACACTTTCCAACTGATTTTTAAATATTTCTTCCTACAATTTAGTGTATTGCTTCAATTATAAATTTTCGGAAAACGCCTCTACATATAGATCTGCAAAGAATTATTTAACTTCGAGGCACTTGACTTGCTCGGGCCTGCTCCTGTTGGCAATTGACATTTGCCTTCCATTCCGAGCTATCATTTTAACAGTTTTTTTATGGATTACCTAATTCCTACTCACCATGTTTGCTTTGCTCATGGCACAAATTTATCTCGTGTCAATCGTACTATAGGCATGATTTTAAATGACGAAGTAGCTAAGAATGGCCTTTAGAATGAACAATCAACACTTGGTTGAAGTAATAAATATAATGAACTGCTTATATTCTTGTGCTATTTTGGCCTACGGCCTCTAATCTCATTTGTCAGTCTTTCAACTTAGATTAAATCATTTTTCACAATATTTTGACGATTCGAACACGCATGCTCGCATAATGGCACTCCTTCTCCATAATCGTATTCCATTTTTATCCTTGATTTCTTAATACTTTCCTGATCCAGGCGAACAATCAGCAAATCCACTATTCGTGTTGGGCAACACGCGTGCACTTGATGTAATGCAGAGCATTCAACGCAAACTGACAGGCACAGAGACGGGTCGGCCGATGGATGTCAGCAAGCAAGTCGATCATTTGCTTCGGGATGCTACCTCGAACCAAAATCTCTGTCAGATGTACATCGGCTGGTGGGTTTTTTCAGACAACGAAGGCCCGTCCCTTTAGCTTCCGATTAGTGGAATTTTGGCTCTAAATTATATGCTAATTTAGTCGAAGGCTGTGCGTTTTTTTCCATTCGCAGTTGCGATTAGAGCATGCATTTCTGATAACCAGCCCAACAAGTTAATCAAAGCTCAGCTTATTTTCATATTTCGCTTTAACCATTTCCAGCTTTTGAACATTTCTAGCCTTTTATAGTTGGTACTTTCGGGTCTTCACATCCTAACTATTTAAATGCATTAAAGAGTAATTAAAATAGGACACAGTTGAATATAGATGGAATATTTACTCTTTCACTGTTATGGGCTCGAAGGAGCTAGTTGCTCACAGGGAAATTTCCTGAAGAGGTAATTAAACCTGCTTGTTGATGATTGCCTATTAGGACTACCTAACTAGGTTAATGTTTTGAACTTATTCATCATCGAGAACTCTAGTGGACAGCTTAGATAGGCAATCTTTAAGCATAAAATGGCGTATTCAGGACAAACACTTATGAAATTGAAAATGAATTATATTCTCCTTGTTTTATTGTGCGAAATGTGTATAGTTATCCGGGTTTCTGAAGAGTGTTTTCAATTAGGAGTATAGTACTATTATTATCAGCAGTATATTAACATCAGCACGAACTCAAAAATTATTAAGCTGAAGTACTATCACCTCCGCTTCTTTTTTTGCCTTTTTCAGGTGTCCTTTCTGGTGATTTCCAGACTTTCGGCTCGCAATGTTCGCATTTACCAAATTTAATTCCCGGTTGACTTTTAACGGCTCAATCTCCTCTCCTGCGTCCTTCGTCCTCCATACACCCCTTGTCTAAACATTTCCCATATCTTTTTTATCTTTTGATATCTTCAATGGCCTCAAGCCGAAGTGATCATTCTTATCCTATTTTGATAATATTAAACTTACGAGGAAAGCTCAACCATGCTTTGGAATTCATATAGAGGAAAAGGTTCAGCCTTCTTTAGCACCCTTCTTGGAATTCTATTATGCATCTTCCCTTGACAACTCTCTTGATAGGCAATGCATACATGCATTACCTGCAGAATTAATCTTGATCATGATTATGCATCAAATTATATTTGTTTCTTACCTTGGATTGTAAATCTATATCTTTTCTCATAGATATGAAGACCAAGTTGGTGCGACTTTTTTTTTATTGCAGGCTCCTTTAGCCGTATAGTGTTGGTTTGACCTCGTTTTCACAACTTTTTCGGAGCAATAGGGAGGTCTTGTGTAACGTCCTGCGTCCTTTGCCATAGTAATCATGATTTTTTTCAGCGTCGGATAGTTGACTTGGTACATTCCAAGATGTTTCATCAGCATCGTCATTAAGAGGTGCCATTGCTAGCAGGTGTTAAAACATATTAGTGACAAGTGAAGGCAATCTCCTTGGCATCACTTTTTCGCTCTTTTTATCCTAGTTTCTAGTACTGCATTTCGTTCTCTTAACCCCATTTCACATGGCCAATTTATTTATCTACATCATTCTGTTTAACAAGGAGCAGTGGACGTGCGTGGGGGCGGGGGACTAAGTGAAGATCAGGTGCCATGATCTAA